GTGTTTGATATATGAATCTTGGAATGCGTGTTATGTGTTTTACGAATGGTTAGTGAACTATGTTAGTATGTACCACTGATTTTCAGAGATGTGAACTTTGTGTGCGTATGTGTACCTGTTTTGACTTGCGTGTGAGGATGGTGTTGTGTGATGTGATGTGGGGATGCCAAGAACTCGGCTAGAGTACGGGTTCGTAGTGTCCACTAGTGAGTCGGCCTGGGTCGGGCGAGTTACTAGCAATGTCAGGAACTCGGTTGGAGTATGGCGGTCCGTAGCGTCCAGTGGTGAGTGGCCTGGGTTGGGTGAGGTAACTGCAATGCCAGGAACTCGGTTGGAGTACGATGATCCGTAGCGTCTAGTGGTGAGTAGGCCTGGGTTCAGTGTTGTGATGTGAATTGATGTGCTGCAATGTGATGTGATGTGATGCTTGGTTAGCGGTATCTTTCAGAGTATATTTGATGTGTTTTATTGATTTCTGTATATGTAATTATGGTTTTCGATTTGTGGCATGATGCATATTTTAACATGCATAGAGTAGGTATCATCTGTACTCACTGAGTTTTGCGACTCACTTTTTATAAACTTTCCAGATATAGGTTGCGTGTCAGGGTTGAGACAATCGTCTGCCACTTCATTTGATATACGGGCGAGTTCCTTGTTTATCTGTTTGATACTCTAGAACTCCCTTTATCACTCAAGCAGAGTCCTGACTTTGTAATTGACAGTTTGAGATGTATATATATATGTTTGGATTAGTTTGTGGTATGTGTTTGCAGTAGTATAGCTGACTAGGGTCGATGATTTTAGTGTCGGTGACGGGCTTGGGTTTGGGCCATGACAATATTACGATTTAAAAATATTGAAAAAGAGGTGAGTATAAAAATTAATAAATAGAAATATAAATTCTAGTCATATTAGGATAAGTATCATAACATATACCAATCATATATATATAATAAAACAGTGAGCAAATATATGTATTACCAAAAACAATGAAAATTTGTTAATATTATTTGTTTCCTTCCTATAATTTATTTTTCTTTCTCATGTTTTCCCATTTCAAATATTTATTTTTGTTCTAGAAAACACAAGCAAAAAATAATAAAAGTAAAAAGTAGAATCGGCATGTCAACAACTCAGAAGTAATTGTTTGCACAGGAAAATGTAAGATTATTTCTTGGAAACTCTCCCCAGCACCACCTAAGACTTCATCAACGGAGAAGTGGTTGATGTCTATTTTTTTTTAATTTATTTTAATCCCCCCGTTTTTTCTTTATATTATCTCCTCAATCAGACTCAAGGCATGTCCGACTTCAAAAACTTTAATGGACACATCATCCATTGGCCCGTGGTTGACACCCTTTTTTTTGGGCCCAAGCCCCTTTCCTTTGTTTATCCCTTAAAAGAGGGTTTGACGTGCATTCTCACTCTTTTCTCGTTTTGTTAAGATAATTTTGGAAAAGTATTCTGTTACATTTCAATTATTTTTTTTTGAAATAGCATACCCTAAATTTCTTTGTCAAGGATACGATTTTCATTATAATTAGCCTTGTTTGATTTTTTTAAGGTGTGAGATAATTCACGCAATTAACCAACTTTCTTAAATTGAAAATTTTAATCTTTTTAACAATACCGTTGGATGAAAACTATTATTACTTTTGGCAATTACTAACCCATTGGCACTTCTCTTTCTCCCTTTCTCATTTTATTTGTATGACTATCAAATGCCAAGAAATAATAACAATACTCCAACTCCAAAACAAACACTTACCCAAATCAATAATAGCTAACTTAAAAATGATTATTTTTCATATTCAGAAGCATAAGTGAGAGACATTGTATAAATGAAATAAAACAAGATTCTAACTTGATAGTTTTGTTGTGGTTGTTATAGTGTCTAATATATATAATCTGGTATAATATATATACCATCAAATGCCAAGAAATAATAACAATATATATAATGTCAATCATGTATTTGGTTCTGAATTATCACAAAAAGTGACAGTGGCATCAATGGTCCACGTACATCTGGTCTAGACCAGGTTTAATTATGGTGGGGAACCAGATAAATTTGGCCATTGATTGGCGGTTTTTTAATCTTCCACCTATTTCATCAATAATCTAATTACTATACAAATTGTAATTTTATACATGACATAGTCACTATAATGAATATATATTGATTGTTGGTTTAAAAGTTTGTTACTTTTTTAAGACTTAAACCTGAAGCACAATGTAAAAGTTTTTTTAACCTCAAAGTTATGAAGTTTTAATTTACGACACTTTTTACTTTTAAACTTTTTACGTAATTCAATAAAAAAATTACGTAAATCAATAAATATTGAATTGTATTAGCTTCCTGAATTGTGTGATATGGCCTAATTGTTAAAATTCTTTATGAGCAAAATTTTATTTTACAAGGACTATTTTGTACAGAGATTGGGAATAATTTGAAAAAATATAAATAATTTAGATATTTTTTCACAAAAAGAAACTTATTCAGAGATTGTAAGATAAAGTCCGCTGGTTAGCAAAAAAAGGAAAAAAAAAGGCTTCATGTACGAGAATTTAATTTCAAAATCTTAAAAAAGTAATTAAGAAAATATACATGATCAAATATTAATAAAAAATAAATATATAAATCAATAATTACTGAATCCTCTGATTAATTTTACTGAATTAATTTGAAGACTTTAAAGATTTAGCAACAGCCCCGTTACCGATGAAAGTTCTAAGTTGGACCCACAACGATGTCCGCTTTAAAAGACCTCCGATGAGGTCTTCTCCAATATTTTTTTTTGTATTGTATGTATTTATAGATCGTATCCAGGCTTGGACGCAGGCGGTATTCCACTTAAAAACTCTAAAAGAGCAGCCGTGAGACTAAACTGGGGCCTCATTATGAAAATTCTACGTTGGACCCAGGGTGATGTGGGACTTTTAAAAGACCTCTAATGGAGTCTTCTAGAATTTGTTTGTCTGTATTTAGATGCATGGACTATTCTGCTTAAAAACATAATGGACATCAATGAAAATTCTAAGTTGGATCTACGGCGATGTCCAACTTAAAGGACATCAAACGGAGTCTTTAAAGACTTTTGAGACTAGAAATAGGAACCAATTTAAAAAATATCTCCAACTTAAAAGGCCTTTAAAAATTTTTCAGACTAGAAATGAAAACCATGTTTTTGTCCATTTGGTAGAAATCATGTACAATCCACATTATCTCCCAGATTTTTGATTAGTGTTGAAGTTTTAAATTCCAAAAAAGAAAAAGGGAAAAAATTAAAATTCTATAGCATTAAAGCTCAACCTAAAACATAAAAATTTTTAAATTTATAAAATTTTCACTTTTGATTTTTTGAACCTTTAAATTTTTTTAAAAAAAATTAAATTTTATCAGCCCAAAGATCCATTTTTATAATTATTTTTTCCGGTGCTCAAATGTGCTAGTGTCGGGTCTAGTTTGAAGCGTTTTGTCCATTCACGTAAACCACGCGTTATAAAGCCATGCAAATGATGGCGAGTAAGGCGAATATATCCAAATATGCAACTATTTACTGTTGATTATGTTTATTTTATTGAAAATCGTGGAAATTCAAAAAAAAAAAATTCATGCGTGAGAATTAAATTTCAAAACCTTAAAAAATTTAAAAAAAATACATAAACAAAATATTAATAAATTATCAAATATTAATATTAAAAGATTTTTGCGTCCGTGATAAATTATTTTAGGCCACAAAAATAAATACATTGTAAGTAAGAGTAACAATTTTCTAAATTCTTGACTTTTTTTTATACACTGAAGAAAGTAAAAAATAAAAAATAAAATAAAATACATTAGGAGGACATGAATTAGCAGTAGCATTGCTACCACCGAAAATTCTAAGTTAGACCTTAGAGATGGCCAACTTAAAGACTATTAATAGATTTTGAATTATTTATTAGATTTGAATATAATTTAATAAAAATAGATTTTATAGAATTTTAGATTAGATTTGGATATAGTAATAGTTAATCAAATTTAAATTCAGATATGTTTGATTTAATACAAATCCGACTTAATAACAACCTTATTTTTAATATTTCATTAGAATTAATTTCACTTCACCTTCTCAAAAATTTTATTGTATGGTCAAAATTCTATTCAAAATGTACAGTGACTTATTAATTTGTAAGTCCAACAAGGTTAAACTAAAATATTTTGAGAGGCAAAATGATAGGAATAGGAAAAAAAAATATCTACACTATGATTATCAAACATGATAATTTGAAATAAATGTTGCACAAAAATGCTATGTAATGCATGTGACTTTGTTACTCTCTAGCAACAAGTTGGGATGCATTATTATAAATTCACCGTATCCCTATTTGTGGGTTCCAAATAATCTTTTGTTACAACAGAGAGTTATGGAAAATTAATTTTAAAGCATATGCGATCACTTTCTCAAAAGAGAAATTAATTAATTACATTTTAAATTAATGACAAGTAGCCCGTTTCACGATATAACAAAATCAAAAAACACATTCAACGAAATTAATAGTTACAAATGTTATTGGCTATTGTAATTCAAATTCAAATCTAGAAATAATAAATTATTACTTTCAAAAATAAAACAAAATATTGTTTCTGAAAATAATAAAATTATTATTATTATTATTCTATCATATAAATCAAGTCCGAAGTGCTCTAGTATAATGTGTGTGTGTGTGTTAAAAATAATTAAATTATGAGTTGGTAATTAGGCTAGGATTTTGCTTTTCTATATTTTGGATTGGGTTTTCCTGATTTTCTGCTTCTGGGAAACTTTATTGTTTGGACAAAATAACTTTCTATATTTTGGACAACTCAGGTGCATTGGTGCAACTGCACTTGACTTGAAGAATATAGGATATATGTCGAGAAAGACGCTGCTTTTGAGAGGTGGTTCCGACAGGTTTATGTTGCTGAGCCAAGTGTTGCGGACACGATTAGTATTCTTCGAGGGCAGAAAGAAATGTATGATGGAAAACATGGTGTTAGAATTCAGGATAGAGCTCTTGTGTTTGCTGCGCAGCTATCGGCTCAATATATCACTGGTATGTAAAAATTTGTTGGAGTTTGATCTGTTCATATCATCACTTATAATTATTCTGGGTCTCAAGTTTGTAAACAAACCTGTTTCTGTTTTTAAGTAGAAATTATGATTGGCTGGGGTTTCTAAAACTATTTTGGAAGAACTTTTAAATGACAACAGAAGTTGTTTTCAGAAATCTTGGAAACTAGTTTGCTTGAAGATGAAAACCTTGCAAGTTCAAATTTTTTCTGTTTTTCTGTTATTGAAATACAGCAAACTAAAAAACAGAATATAAACCCGATGGAAACTAAAAACAAAAAATAAATTCATGCAAGACCTTGGCTTCTTGTCAGAATGGAATAAACTGATGCTTGGCATGTACCTTACCCTGTCCAGGGCGTCATCTTCCAGACAAGGCTATTGACCTAGTTGATGAAGCTCGTGCAAATGTCAGGGTCCAGCTTGATAGTCAACCTGAAAAGATTGATAATCTCGAGAGGAAGAGACTTCAATTAGAAGTAGAACTTCAAGACCTTGAGAAGGAGAAGGACAAAGCAAGTAAGGCTCGGCTTGTCGAAGTAAGTACCTTGTCATTACCGTGTTTAGGACTTGATGATGTGCCAGCTTAGAGTAATGTCCCTTCTGATCCAAACAGACACTTAGATCCATTTCTTCAGTTGAAAAAGGAGCTTGATGATTTGAGGGAGAAGCTTCAGCCTTTGATGATGAAATACAAAAAGGAGAGAGAACGGATTGATGAGCTCCGCAGACTCAAGCAAAAGAGAGAGGAGCTCCTTATTGCAATGCAGGAAGCAGAAAAGGAGGTATGATTTAGCTAGAGTCGCGGATTTGAGATATGGAGCGATTCAAGAAGTTGAGGCTGCAGTAGCAAGGCTTGAAGGAAACACAGAAGAAAGCGTATTGCTCACAGAGACTGTTGGTCCTGACCAAATTGCAGAAGTTGTGAGCCAGTGGACTGGCATTCCTGTGACTCGGCTCGGCCAGAATGAGAAGGAGAGGTTGACTGGGCTTGCTGAGAGATTGCACCAGAGAGTGGTGGGACAGGATCAAGCTGTCAGTGCTGTTGCTGAAGCTGTGTTGAGCTCTAGGGCTGGACTGGGAAGGCCACAGCAGCCAACCGGCTCTTTCCTTGTCTTGGGTCCACCTGGTGTTGGGAAGACTGAGCTTGCTAAAGCCCTTGCTGAACAGTTGTTTGATGATGAAAATCTAATTATTAGAATTGATAAGTCCGAGTAACGGAGCAGCATTCTGTTGCCCGATTAATTGGTGCTCCACCAGGGTAAGTGTTCAAACTTAAACCCACTATATTTCTTCCTAATGAATTTGGTGTGCGTTGGAAATTGGAAGAGCTCAACTTTTTTGAGAGCATATTTGTTTAAACTGTATTAATTAGCCTCTAAGCTTTCTGTTCTCTGCCTTAAGGTAAAATCCTGGCCTTTCCAAAGGTAAAAATCAAATTCCTTTTACTTTATGGATTGCTGCTTAAAAGTATTGCGAGTGTCCAACTTTCAGTCATTCTGATCATGTCCTTAGTAGATAGAAGATCAAAGGGATAATTTGACTGCTGCTAATGGTTATTTCAGCTAGTTGGAATCAGATAAGGTTTGATTTTATTTTTAAAATTTTTTTAGAGCTTTTCCTTTTTTATTTTTTAAGCTTTTCATTTTTGTTGTTTTGAGGTAATATTCTTGCAAAATTGAAAAGAAAATCTTTTTAGTTTACGAAAAGCCGCCTAAAAGTTTCAAATATGACCGCTCATGGTCATATTCTGGACAACTCCTTTGTAAGACATGAAGTCAAAGGAATGGACACTTACTGTTGTGGATGATTATTTCAGCTATGTTGGGCACGATGAAGGTGGGCAACTCACAGAAGCTGTGAGGAAGAAGCCGTGTAGTGTGGTGCTATTTGATGAAGTGGAGAAAGCACATCCCACTCTTTTCAATACCTTACTTCAAGTTTTGGATGATGGAAGGTTGACAGACGGCCAAGGCCGCACGGTGGACTTCACCAACACTGTTGAGAATGAGGTGATGATTTTGGGTTTTGACATAATACAGGTGAGGAGGCATTTTAAGCGTGAGTTGCTCAATCGGCTGGAAGAGATTGTGGTATTTGATCCTTTCTCACGAGCAACTAAGGAAGGTTGCCAAGCTTCAATTGAAAGATGTAGCGAAGCGGCTTGCGGAGAGGGGTATTGCACTTGGTGTGACTGAGGCAGCACTGGATGTTATACTGGAAGAAAGTTATGACCCAGTAAGTATTCTGGCCGAAGAGCCAGAAAAACCTAAAAAATCCATGGTTTTGATCGCTAGCTTTCCAAGGTTATGCCGTTTTAAAGTTCAAAAATTCCAAAAAGTTCAAAAAAAAAAAAAAAAAACCAAAAATTAGGATTTTAAAACTTTTAGGTTTGAAGCCTATGAGCTGTGAAGTCCTGGCTTGAGGAATTTTAAATGAAACTAGTAAGTCGCAAAAGTGGAGTTAGATTATTTGTTTCATTGAATTTGAATTTGTTCCAAATTGTTATGATTCTTGTATCTAGGTATATGGTGCAAGACCGATAAGGCGATGTTTGGAGAAGAGGGGGTTGACTGAATTGTCAAAAATGCTGGTGAAGGGGGAGATTGATGAGAATTCAACTGGTTATATAGATGCTTCCCCTAATGGAGATGTGTTAACATACCGGGTTGAGAAGCCTGGAGGTCTCGTGAATGCTGCTACTTGGCAGAAGTCAGACGTACTCATTCAAATCTCTAATGGGCCTGCTAGGAGTGATGCTGCTCACGCAGTGAAGAAGATGAGGATTGAAGAGATTGAAGATGATGATGAAATGGACATATAGATGGTTTGTGCATGGAAAATAAAAAATGGTATGTGTTGTTTTTATGGTTTCTGACTGCACATGTTTTGTTGAAGTGTTAAATAGCTGATTTAAGCTTTTGAGTGTGTGTTTTTGTTTGTTATTTTCCAGTGTTTTTGCCTATGTTTGATATTAATGCGCAGTTCTTCGCATTTCTACTTAAAAATCAATTTTGTAAATATTTTATTTTAAGTTGTTAGTTCCCGTCAATATTGCTTGTGTTCCACCTCAACAATAAAAGATCCGTTCTCGGGTCTATAAAAATAATGATTATGATTGGCAGTTTGGTGCATTAAACTTGAGGGGGTGCCTTTCCTTAAAATAATAATTTTAATATGATAATTATTAATTTATTTAGGCATTTTCCTAAGAAATTTGTGAATTGATCTTTTCTTTCATAGATAGATGAATTGCAAACAAAAGTCCGATAAATAAAATGATATACCATAGGCACACAAAATGAGATATTGTAGGTACACTATAATAGGAAATAGATAATATCTCCAAGATGAGGTGAGCATGCTTAACTTTTCCGAATTTAAAACTATAGTTAAAATAATAAAATATTTATAATATTTATTTTTTTACATTTAGATCTTTAACTTATCGCATAAAAACGAGACTCTAACTTTCTCGACAAATTTAAAGCCATAATCACAAGGCTAAATGTCAGGTTCAAAAAAAAAATCTTTTAATAGAAAAAATTTTTAAAATATATTTGTAGCAAAATTTGAGAACTTTTTAAATATTTTTGACAATTTTAGAACTTATAAAATTTTACAAAATTTAGTTTGTTTAGCCACAAAAATTCCTTTTTATATCTTCTTTTTTTTATTTTAAAAGGTTACCATTTTATTTAAAGATTTTTGTTTTTAAAACTCATGCTAAATATCCATAAATTTTTTTAAAAAGGTCGCAGTACATGAAAGAAAGAACTTGCTTGCCAGAAATCACACGCCATTCCGCAAATTGGGGTTATACCGTCCCTTCCCCTGTAGTACCCTTTTTGTTCGCTTGTTGAATCTCTGTGCGAAAGAGTGAAAGAAGGACCGAGGGCGAAACTTCGACGACGGATAGCAAGCTTTGATACAGCCTTGCAGGCGGACAGCAGAGGTATTCTCTCTTATTTTTTGGCTCTATTTTTTATTATCTGTGAAATTGTGAGAATAACTGAATAAATTTATTTTCACGTATTTTTATGTCTTTACTGTTTTTCTTATCTGTGACCTACTAAGAAACAATGAATAGATTCAGTTGGGTTTTTTAGGGGCTGTTTGGTTTGTGAAAATGTTTCCCATTTTCAATTTCCTTTCTATGTTTTGAAAAGAGTTTTTACTTTTTGATTTTTGAATTTTAAAAAACATGTTTGGTTTGGTTTACTATTTTCTATTTTCTAAAAATGAAAATAATGAAAATACAATTGGTTTATTCATTTTCAATAAATTGAAAATGAGGACTCAATTGAAAAAACTAGACTTTTAGGATTTTTAGTGGGAATTTAAGTGAAAAAATTAGAACTTTTAAGGTTTAAGTCGAGAACTGAAGAGTATAGGGATCGGATTGAAAAATGTGGAGGGGATCAAGGACTAAAAAATAAATAAAAAATAACAAAGAGAGTCTTCCCCTACCTTAAGCAAGTCAAGATTAGGTCTACTAGACCTGATCGTGACCCGACTTCATACATCTTTTGATCAGCCCTTTTTCATGCAATTTTTGCTTGTAATTAATTTCGTACACTCTAAATAACAAAAATCCTAAACTAATTTGGAAAAATGATCTCCCAAATGATGAAATTTCAGAAAGAAAAACAAAAACTTTCGACCATGTCCGACTGGTTTACGCAATATCAATTGATGATTCATGCAATAGATAAGGACAATGCTCGAAGGAAGACAGACGACGCTTAGATGGACGTCTCTTAGACAACAGTAGATGTAGATCATGCTCCATTTCTCGATCTAAGGGCCGACAATTTCGCAACGATGGTAGATGAAGATCATGCTCTACAGAGCTGACTCCCTTGCTTGCGACGACGACGAACTCTGTTCGTGGTTCTGTTTACCGGCCGGTGGATCCGAATAGGTGACAAACTCTGTCTGCAACTATGTTTGTCGGCGAACTAGGATGCACGGAACAGTAGCACAGTTCTAAAGGTTACGAGACAAACACTAAAAACCGGTTTTATTACAAACTACCACCGCGTTTTCAATTTTGGACTGAAAATATAGAAAACAGCAATTTATCATTCTCTCCTTTTCAGCTAAATTTTTAAAATGTTCTCTAAAATTGAAAATTGGAACGAAACACCAAACGCGTTTTCGCCTCTATTTTCTATTATTTTTGAAAATGAAAATAAAAAACGGGCCAATCAAACAGGGCCTTATATTGTGGTTCATCCGTGGATGTGCTTTCTTTATGGGTTGTATTGCGAAATTGGTTTATGGTCTGATAGTAGTATGGTATTTTTTATTTTTTTTTGCTGGGTGGTATTTTGTTATGTGGCGTTCATGGAGTTGTGAGGATATTTGGTGCGCAAAAAGGCCTGGGCTTTTGTGTCGTTTGTTTCCTTTCAAAGACAGTCTTCTCTTTTCTAAACTGGACCCGCGGGATATTCACTCAAGGACTTCAAACGAAGACTTCATTCATGAGACTGCAATTGACACCATTTTTTCTTCTCAGTTTTTCTCCAGAAGTGGATCCATGCGATGTCCCTTCCCATTCAACTTTAAGCGATGTCCCCCTTAAAAACGTTAACGGAGACTTGCTTTTTTCCTATTCAGCTTAAAAGATTTTAATGGATATTTCTTTTTGCATACCTTCCCCTGTTATTCTTTGTATGCCTCTTGTGCCGGACTTATGAATTGTCAACTTAAATGACTTTAACCATCGGTGGGGAAATGGTTGAGGTCTATTTTTTCATTTTTCCATCATCGCTATTTTTCCAACTTATTTTTCAAGCTTTGTCAAAAAAAAAAAAAATGCTTTAATGGAGACCTCACCCGCAGAGCCGACGTCCATCTTAAAGACTTTAATGGATGGGCGGAGTTGATGGCTTCTGTTTTTCTTGGAAGCCTCCCCTCTTTTCTTTGTTTATTAACTGAAAAATATTATTTGTTGTAATGTTTTTTACAAACACCCTTTTTTTTTGTGCTTTTATTTTTCTTTACTTTGACACTATCCTACGTTTATTTTACGGTCTTTTGCCCCAGATATATCATATGGATGCATGTACAGTGTTTGCTAATTTTGTTTAGACGTAAGCTTTCAATAATGTGGGTGGTTATTTTATTTCTTGAAGTATTAGATTATTAGAAGTTGTTGTCTATAGTTTTTGTGGAATACTTATATCCTGTTTGTATTAGTGGGTTTGAACAGACTAACCAGCTGTTTGTTCGGTTTTTGTATGGATTGACATATCCTATTGAATTACGAGGTTCAAGCTAACCTTGGATGCCAAACGGGGAATGTTCAGTATCCTAGTTTCTCGTTAAATGATTTCCGCCAAGGCAGGCTATTATTTTTTTAAGGTGACAAAAACTTCATCTCAATATCTCAATTTCAAATGCTATAGCATGTTCTTTATTTTTTATTGGACGAAGCACACAAGGGTGCTTCCAATTGACTATTGTCACGACCCAGATGTCGAGTCCTTGACCGGCGCTAGAGTTAGGATAATCCCAATCCCGCAAGCTTCAGAAGATTCGAATTATAACAGAATTAAATAAAACTTAACATAATTCAGTAATCAAAGTCTGATACAAACTGTCAAAAGCCCAATACACTTATTAACATCTGAACCCCAGTCTGTGATCTCAGAGCTAACTAAAACAAAATACATACTAGAAGAACAATGACTAACTGCGATACTCAGAAATCAGGTCTACTGGAAGCACGGAATCGAAATCGGCGAACTACTATCACTGAGCAAGATCTGTCGATAAAGTTGAAATTGAGTTTGAAAAATAAAATAATGAGTCTATTGACCCAGTGAATAATAATACATATTTATATGACGAGAGACATATATCAGATATTCTTAGCATAAAATCATAGTTTTCAACTTACACAAGTTAGAGAGTTCGACACCGAGAACTGAACAGAAACAGGAGGGCAACCCATGGTATGCCAATATACAGATATTAGGATGGCGACTCAAAGTCTACCAGTAATCAATAAACAGGTCTACCACGTCAGCTACACGTGATAGTCTAGCATCACCCTTGCTAGCTGGGGATACAGACTAAGGTGCACCAAGTCTAACGCATACTGCCGTTAGTTACAGTATTCTAACAGTACGATACTCCTTAAAATCATTTATCCGAGTTTAACAGAGAAAGTTTCAAATTTTCAAATTCTTAAACATGTATCAGTACTTGAAACCAGAAACTCAAAAGTTTTTCCTACTAATCAGAAAATGACATATACGTCCCTCATAACTTTTCTAACAATTTAAGTTCAACTGGATAATAACTGAAATAAATTTTCAATTTGTATAAAAACAGGAAATTAAACAAGTAAAACAGCGTTTAAAACATATAAATATATAATATTACTCACAGAAACCGAGAATCACACAAATCGAGCTTCAGTGGTTCGGCTCCCGAAATTCAACCAATTAATCTAAAATAATAAAAATATTTATCTGAGAACATAATATTTCTCAAAATTAATTAAAAACCAGATTATTCTAAAAACCCAACCTTTTTCTTAATTTTCATGTTTTAATCCATTTTGGGAATTTTAAAGTCTCTAACTGATCAAAACCATACTGAATCGGATCTCCTACACATTGAACCGAGCATAAAACTTACTGAACTAGTGAGAAAAACCATTGAACCGAGATCAAAACCATTTAAACCGGACTCAAATCCCCTAAGTTGGCCATAGAACCCATTGAATCGGTCTTAAACCGATTAAACCAGTCTTGAAATGCATAGAACCAACCCTAAAAGTCAATGAACCGGACTTAGAATCATTGAACC